AAACAAATAATGATCTAAATAATAGACAAATTGAGCAATTTTTAAAAAGTTGCTTATAGGCTCAGAATTTTCACCATTATGCCCATTGGCTGCCTTGGGGCTCATGTTATTTTGTTAAGTTTGAGTTGATAGTCAAGGTAGAAGCATGCACAAAATTTTCGAAAAAAATTCACTGAACAAAATTTTCGCACACTTAAAAAATTAGCCGGACCCAAAGCTCATTCTCCCTTTTTATTTCAATCGATATTATACGCGTTTGCACCAAAGCATAATAGGCCGTCTTTGTGCATGAAGAAAAGTCGTCGACTAAATATTGCCATTAAACACACTAAGGTAGGCTAACGCATGTATGTTTTTTTGAAATATCGGCGTTGAGAACAGGGAAGTTTCTTTGGACTTATGGGTAGATATCACATTTTATTACAACAATTACAACTTTATGCAAACTAGGCTTATGCATTATGGTAGCATTTATCTTTTGTGAAAAGATATTGGGCATGCTGCCAATATGCTGAACATTCAACATCGTAATTGCAATTTACAAACTTCCGGATCAACAATACCATGACATCAACAATATGGTTGCTATTATGTTATCATGTTATTGCTCTTTCAGTTTAGTTTGAATGTGAGATTAAGCTTATTGTTCACGACTTTTAACAGTACGTTTTTGCTCATATATTCGTCATCATTTCTCTAAGAAGAAAGAGGCCCAAACACAAACCCAAAAACGATAATTTCATATACAGGGGGTGGGGTACTTTTGCCAAATCTGTAGGTTAAAGGCACATACCTTACTTGTATTAAAATTCGCGCAGTACTAGAATTCGCGCAGCGCTGAGTGCGCGAATTTTAGTACTGCGCGAAATATAATCCGCGCGAAAAGCTTTCTAGTGTAATATGAGACATTCACTGTTGGTTATGCAAATCAGTTGTTTTATTAACGCATATACATATTGACATATGTTTTTAGTTGTCCTGGTAACATTAAAAATCAAAAATGTCTTCATTTTCATCCTGTACAATTTCAGTCAGGATATTCTCAGGTTCTACGTAGTATTCCGTCACGAATGCCTGCATTTTGCTGTATATCCTAAAACTTGCATTGTTCTGCATGACTGTTAGGGTAATAGGAATCTCCAAGCCTCCTTGTAGTAATGGGGATCGACGAAATTTGATGTCACACACACATGCTTCTATATTTCCCCCATATTCAAAAAAAAAACTTGTAAAATCGGGAAATCTCTCGAGGCAAATGTCCGACCAGTGACAATGGTTCAATCTTGCCTCTGATTTTGGTAAACAGACCAATAGCATATGGGTCGAATAGGTTTCCTGATTCTGGTTTTATTATTAACTGCTGGTTGATTCTTGGAGCCCAGATTTTTCTGTATTCATGAAAACCTCGTGATGCGCAAGCCAGAGAAAACGATGTCCCCTCGGGGCTCAGTTTCACTGAATTAGAATCATCCGTTCCTGAATCGTGGGTTTCCTGAAGCAAGCAATCAGATACGTAATTTTCTTTCGCGTCGCACGCTTCACATAAAGCAACACTCGAACCAGTTTTCCATCCAGAATAGTTTTCAGATGCAGGGATTGAACACTTGATTCCTCGGTTACAAACAAATGATTTGCATTTTAGACAAGTGTATTTTGTCAAATCATTGCACACGATGCAAATGCTTTCCATTTCTCCAACACAATAGTCAATGATGAGTCACGTTTCTTTAGGTGTTAGATATGATGTTCTATTATTATTTTACTGACTGATTTTACTTCATTATTAACTAATTGCCGAATACGTCAAACGTTTCCGCAACACATATTCTACCGTTCAAGTATTGCCAACAGAAAACATTGTGCGGGAAATCAACGCACATGGCTCTGTTAAAATATTTCAAAAAGGTTTCCCAAGACGATATTTCGGTCGCGTCGTCTGACAGCAAATTAAATGCTGCCGAAGAAAATGCAGTAAAACAGCAATTATTTCTTGACGCCCAGAACCAAAGAAAAGGAGGGGCAAATATGGAGCATATGATGCTTTTCAACGAGCAGAAATTGCAAAATGGGGAATTGTGCATGGAATAAGACCGGCGGCAAGAAAGTATTCTGTACCAGAGTCAACTGTTCGTGGACTTGTCAAATCGTACAATAAGGAACGAAAAGAGCGCACTGAACTCGAACAATTGCCAAGAAAACATCGTGGAGCAAAAACTTTGTTACCCGAGAACATCGATAAGAAAGTTATCGCCATGATCAAGAGCATGAGAACGGCCGATTGTGTTGTCAATTACAACATTGCTATTTCCATAGCGAAGGGGATAGTACTGGCCAATGATCGGTCTTTGTTGAAAGAAAACGGAGGAACCCTAAAATTCCACTATACATGGTGCCAGTCAATTTTCAGAAGATTGGGTTTCAGTACACGTAGAGCAACAACTGCAAAACAACCAGTATTACCTGGCTTCTTAAAAGAAATTCGCTTCACGTTTCATCGTTCTATTAAGGAAGTGGTTCCCGCTTATGACGTTCCCGACGATCTCATTATAAACATTGACCAGACCCCTCTCCCGTTTGTCCTCATCAGCAAGTATACAATGGACAAAACTAACGAGAAGTTTGCGCCGATCAGTGATAGCGCCGATTATCGCCAAATTACTGGAAGATTCTCAGTCACTGCGTCGGGAAAGTTTCTGCCAATTCAGCTAATCATCCAGTGGAAAACTGACCGGTGTCACCCTAAATTCAGATTTCCAAAAGAATTCCACGTTACCCACACGGAAAATCATTGGTCAAATGAAACGAAAGCAATTGAATTAGTCAATCGCATTCTTATCCCCTATGTTAAGCAAATTAGAGAAGAGCTTGGTTTTCGCGCAACCAAACAATGGGTTTTGATCGCCGATGTTTTTAAAGCACATTGGACGGATGCCGTAAAGAAGATCATTTCCGACAATAATGGGAAGATGATACCTGTTCCCAATAATATGACATCATACCTGCAGCCCTTAGATTTAACGGTCAATCGCTCTTGCAAAGCTTTCCTTCGAAACCAGGCGCAAACATGGCACTCAGAGCAAGTCCAAGCCCAAATAGAGAAAGGTATTCAACCTGATAAAGTTTCTGTTGATTTGAGAATTAGCGTGCTCAAACCACTTCACGCAAAATGGATAGTGCAGTTCTATGATTACATGCAATCGAACAAGGACATTGTCGTCAAAGGTTGGCAACGATCAGGTGTGAGCGCCGCATTGGAGGAACCACAATGAACAGAGGATCCATTTGAACTGTAGCTAAACTTTTGTTTGACTCATAAAGTATATTGTTAGGCAATATCATTTATTAAATTTTTTAGTTCTTGTTGGGATAGTGAACTCACGCTTTATTTTGAAGCCATTTTTAAGGCCACCCAATCGCTTTTTTGATGAATATTGAGGTATTTCTTAATAAAGAAAGCTCAATATAAATGCGTTAATTATTAATAGTTCTTTTGAACAAACCAAAAAGAACGAGCACATAAAACTACTTGCGCGAATTTAAAGCTGCGCGAATAGTTGTCAACAAAGTGCGCGAAATTAAATCGCGCGAATTTAAAGCTGAGCGAAAATGAGTACGACTCGAATTTTAATACAAGTAAGGTATTTCGAAAATGAGTTCTAAACACAAAAAGGCTTTTGAAAGAGAGGCAAACGTCGTAAAAAGTTTTGTGTGTATAGAGATTTCTGCAAAAACGATCCAGATAAAAAGTAGCTATAATTTTACATGACAAATAATCTCTTTTACATCTATATACAGTAGAACCTGTTTTAAGCAGTCACAAATGGAGATTTCTCGTGTGACCGTTTAATACAGGTTTACCACTTATTACAAGTTGACCGTTTATTATAGTTCTTAAGGAAAGTCACCAAACGGGCTACGTGTAACATTTAACAAACTAAAGTTGACCAATCGGTATTGTTCTTTAACATGCCAATTAACAACACTATATAAAGCACTTTTTTTCTTGGTTTTAACTAGAAATTAAAAATAGTATACACAAAAATTTCACGGCTCAAATTGCTAAAAAATATTAATCATTGGCAATCGCGTCAACAGAGAAGGTGTTTATAACTTATATATTCCGTGCGCATGTCCCTTTTGAGGAGATAGGTTTTCTTGTCAATGGCTGAAGGGACGTAAGAAGCATTAAATTGCTTGTGTATTTGTCCGCACAAACAGAAAATATTGTTGGAACTTTTGAGTCATTTTATGGAAGATAAATACAATATAAAGAAATGTATACAATATAAGTGATGCGCTCCAACAAAAATATTTAATAATGTATTTTATTATGGGGTGTACCTAATTAACCTGACCGTATAATACAAGTGCAAAAGAACAAAAAATTAAGCTTGGCACATTGGAAAAGGTGACCGCGTCCGTTTAATAGAGATGACCGTTTAATAAAGGTCACTTTAATAGTATTTGCACCAGGAAAGTTTGCCATATAACCGCTTAACACAGGGTGACAGCTTAATACGGTGCCGCTAATACAGGTTCTACTGTTAAAGTAAAATTACAAATATTTTGCTTCTTATAAACTTGCTCCGTGGCGCTGTAAGGCCCATTTTACTACATATATGACATACAGATATAATTTGTTTTTTTAATGAAAGTTTTTGGCGAATTAACTAATTAAAACATGCCTAAATGAATTTTGGCCTATCTAACCTCTTCCAGTCAACTATCACGCTGCCAACGCTACTGATCTGTTGTTCTGACAAGCAGCAAGGAGTTTTTATTTTCATGTAATATTAATTTGCACTCGGCTTTGGTAAACGTTGTGTGCATTGTCTGACTTATTTTAATTTGCTACCAAAAGATTGTAGCTAGCTATTGTTACCATAGTTGTTTTACAAGAATTTCTTATTTTAAGATGCTTTTCTGAAGGGCTTTATCATTTTGAATAAACTAAACCAAACTTTTAAAAGTTTCACAATACGATATTTTTATAATTACAGGTTGGAAAGTTGGATCTCACATTTATTTTTCTCAGAGGGTAATAAAGCACTTGGTTTTCTTGGAATGAAGTGCTTATACGAATTACAAGACGACGATGAGATGAGATCAATTTGCGAGTCAAATAATTTTTCAGAAACAATATCCATTGATAACGTTTCTTTCACGCCTCTTGATTCAAACGCCTTCTTTGAATTTCTCTCTGAATGCCGACAATTAAGAGAACTCGCGTTTTCTTCATGCCAATTTCCTGATAATCATAGCGTCATTAGATTGTCAAAATATTTGACAAATGCAACAGCATGCAATGTATTTTCTTTAAAAATCAACTCCTGTTCTGTTAATGATATATCAAACCATCTTAGTAAAGCTTTAAAAAGTGAAAATTGTAAACTTAGTGAATTGGAAATTAAAAAAAACTATATAGGTGAAGAAGGTGCTAAATATCTTAGTAAAGCTTTAAAAAGTAAAAATTCTAAACTTACTAATTTGTTTATTAATAGCAACAACATGGGAGATAAATGTGCAAAATATTTTAGCGAAGCTTTGACAAGTGAGAATTGTAAACTTACTGAATTGTCTCTTGATAGTAACAAGATAGGTGATGGAGGTGCAAAATCTCTTAGTGAAGCTTTGACAAGTGAGAATTGTAAACTTACTGAATTGTCTCTTAGTCGTAACGAAATAGCAGCTGGAGGTGCTAAGTATCTTAGTGAAGCTTTAAAAAGTGAGACTTGTAAACTTACTAAATTGTCTCTTGATTATAACAATATAGGTGAAGAAGGTGCAAAATCTCTTAGTGAAGCTTTAAATTGTAAGAATTGTAAACTTACTATATTAATTATCAATGGTAACAAAATAGATGATGAGGGTGCAAACTATCTTAGTGACGCTTTAAAAAGTAAGAATTGTAAACTTACTGAATTGTCTCTTGATAGTAACAAGATAGGTGATGGAGGTGCAAAATCTCTTAGTGAAGCTTTGAAAAGTGAGAATTGTAAACTTACTGAATTGGATCTTTCTCATAACAATATAGGTGATGGAGGTGCAAAATATCTCAGTGAAGCTTTGAAAAGTGAGAATTGTAAACTTACTAAATGGTCTCTTGAAAATAACAAGATAGGTGATAAAGGTGCAAAATCTCTTAGTGAAGCTTTGAAAAGTGGGAATTGTAAACTTACAGAATTGGATCTTTCTGACAACAATATAGGTGATGGAGGTGCAAAATCTCTTAGTAAAGCTTTTAAAAGTGAGAAGTGTAAGCTTACTGAACTGGATCTTTCTTATAACAAGATAGGTGATGGAGGTACAAAATCTCTTAGTAAAGCTTTGAAAAGTGAGAATTGTAAGCTTACTGAATTGTCTCTTTCTCATAACAAGATAGGTGGTAAGGGTGCAAAATCTCTTAGTGAAGCTTTGAAATGTGAGAAATGTAAGCTCACTGAATTGTCTCTTTATATTAACAAGATAGGTGATGAAGGTGCAAAATCTCTTAGTAAAGCTTTGAAGAGTGAGAACTGTAAACTTACTGAATTGGATCTTTCTCAAACCAACATAGGTGATGGAGTTGCAAAATATCTTAGTGAAGCTTTGAAAAGTAAGAATTGTAAGCTTACTGAATTAGATCTTTCTAATAACACGATAGGTGATGAAGGTGCAAAATATCTTACTGAAGCTTTGAAAAGTGAGAATTGTAAACTTACTAAATTATCTCTTTCTCAAAACAAGATTGGTGATGGAGGTGCAAAATCTCTTAGTGAAGCTTTGAAAAGTAAGAACTGTAAACTTACTGAATTGTCTCTTGATAGTAACAAGATAGGTGATAAAGGTGCAAAATCTCTTAGTGAAGCTTTGAAAAGTGAGAATTGTAAACTTACTGAATTATCTCTTGATAGTAACAAGATAGGTGATGAAGGTGCAAAATCTCTTAGTGAAGCTTTGAAAAGTGAGAATTGTAAACTTACGGAATTGTCTCTTGATAGTAACAAGATAGGTGATGGAGGTGCAAAATCTCTTCGTGAAGCTTTGAAAAGTGAGAATTGTAAACTTACTAAATTGGATCTTTCTTATAACAAAGTAGGTGATAAAGGTGCAAAATATCTTAGTGAAGCTTTGAAAAGTGAGAATTGTAAACTTAGTGAATTGTCTCTTAATTATAACAAAATAGGTGACGAAGGTGCAAAATCTCTTAGTAAAGCTTTGAAAATTAAGAATTGTAAACTTACTAAATTTTCTCTTTATCATAACAAGATAGGTGATGGAGGTGCAAAATCTCTTAGTGAAGCTTTGAAAAGTAAGAATTTTAAACTCACTGAACTGTCTCTTGATAGTAACAAAATAGGTGATGAAGGTGCAAAATCTCTTAGTGAAGCTTTGAAAAGTGAGAGTTGTAAACTTACTGGAATTGTCTCTTGATGGGAACAGCATAGGTGATGGAGGTGCAAAATCTCTTAGTGAAGATTTAAAAAGTGAGAATTGTAAACTTACTGAATTGTCTCTTGATAGTAACAAAATAGGTGATGGAGGTGCAAAATCTCTTAGTGAAGCTTTGAAAAGTGAGAGTTGTAAAATTACGGAATTGTCTCTTAATAGCAACAAGATAGGGGATGGAGGTGCAAAATCTCTTAGTAAAGCTTTGAAAAGTGAGAATTGTAAGCTTACTGAATTGTCTCTTTCTCATAACAAGATAGGTGGTGAGGGTGCAAAATCTCTTAGTGAAGCTTTGAAATGTGAGAAATGTAAACTTACTGAATTGTCTCTTGATAGTAACAAAATAGGTGATGAAGGTGTAAAATCTCTTAGTGAAGCTTTGAAAAGTGAGAATTGTAAACTTACTGAATTGGATCTTTTTTATAACAAAGTAGGTGATAAAGGTGCAAAATATCTTAGTGAAGCTTTGAAAAGTGAGAATTGTAAACTTACTGAATTGTCTCTTTCTAATAACAAGATAGGTGATGGAGGTGCAAAATCTCTTAGTGAAGCCTTGAAAAGTGAGAATTGTAAACTTACTGAATTGTCTCTTAAATATAACAATATAGGTGACGAAGGTGCAAAATCTCTTAGTGAAGCTTTGAAAAATATGAATTGTAAACTTACTGAATTGTCTCTTGATAGTAACAAGATAGGTGATGCAGGTGCAAAATCTCTTAGTGAAGCTTTGAAAAGTGAGAATTGTATCCTTACTGAATTGGATCTTTCTTCTAATAAGATAGGTGACGAAGGTGCAAAATCTCTTAGTGAAGCTTTGAAAAGTGAGAATTGTAAACTTACTGAATTGTCTCTTGATAGTAACAAGATAGTTGATGCAGGTGCAAAATCTCTTAGTGAAGCTTTGAAAAGTGAGAATTGTATCCTTACTGAATTGGATCTTTCTTCTAATAAGATAGGTGACGAAGGTGCAAAATCTCTTAGTGAAGCTTTGAAAAGTGAGAATTGTAAACTTACTAAATTGGATCTTTCTTATAACAAAGTAGGTGATAAAGGTGCAAAATATCTTAGTGAAGCTTTGAAAAGTGAGAATTGTAAACTTAGTGAATTGTCTCTTAATTATAACAAAATAGGTGACGAAGGTGCAAAATCTCTTAGTAAAGCTTTGAAAATTAAGAATTGTAAACTTACTAAATTTTCTCTTTATCATAACAAGATAGGTGATGGAGGTGCAAAATCTCTTAGTGAAGCTTTGAAAAGTAAGAATTGTAAACTCACTGAACTGTCTCTTGATAGTAACAAAATAGGTGATGAAGGTGCAAAATCTCTTAGTGAAGCTTTGAAAAGTGAGAGTTGTAAACTTACGGAATTGTCTCTTGATGGGAACAGCATAGGTGATGGAGGTGCAAAATCTCTTAGTGAAGATTTAAAAAGTGAGAATTGTAAACTTACTGAATTGTCTCTTGATAGTAACAAAATAGGTGATGGAGGTGCAAAATCTCTTAGTGAAGCTTTGAAAAGTGAGAGTTGTAAAATTACGGAATTGTCTCTTAATAGCAACAAGATAGGGGATGGAGGTGCAAAATCTCTTAGTAAAGCTTTGAAAAGTGAGAATTGTAAGCTTACTGAATTGTCTCTTTCTCATAACAAGATAGGTGGTGAGGGTGCAAAATCTCTTAGTGAAGCTTTGAAATGTGAGAAATGTAAACTTACTGAATTGTCTCTTGATAGTAACAAAATAGGTGATGAAGGTGTAAAATCTCTTAGTGAAGCTTTGAAAAGTGAGAATTGTAAACTTACTGAATTGGATCTTTTTTATAACAAAGTAGGTGATAAAGGTGCAAAATATCTTAGTGAAGCTTTGAAAAGTGAGAATTGTAAACTTACTGAATTGTCTCTTTCTAATAACAAGATAGGTGATGGAGGTGCAAAATCTCTTAGTGAAGCCTTGAAAAGTGAGAATTGTAAACTTACTGAATTGTCTCTTAAATATAACAATATAGGTGACGAAGGTGCAAAATCTCTTAGTGAAGCTTTGAAAAATATGAATTGTAAACTTACTGAATTGTCTCTTGATAGTAACAAGATAGTTGATGCAGGTGCAAAATCCCTTAGTGAAGCTTTGAAAAGTGAGAATTGTATCCTTACTGAATTGGATCTTTCTTCTAATAAGATAGGTGACGAAGGTGCAAAATCTCTTAGTGAAGCTTTGAAAAGTGAGAATTGTAAACTTACTGAATTGTCTCTTGATAGTAACAAGATAGTTGATGCAGGTGCAAAATCCCTTAGTGAAGCTTTGAAAAGTGAGAATTGTATCCTTACTGAATTGGATCTTTCTTCTAATAAGATAGGTGACGAAGGTGCAAAATCTCTTAGTGAAGCTTTGAAAAGTGAGAATTGTAAACTTACTAAATTGGATCTTTCTTATAACAAAGTAGGTGATAAAGGTGCAAAATATCTTAGTGAAGCTTTGAAAAGTGAGAATTGTAAACTTAGTGAATTGTCTCTTAATTATAACAAAATAGGTGACGAAGGTGCAAAATCTGTTAGTAAAGCTTTGAAAATTAAGAATTGTAAACTTACTAAATTTTCTCTTTATCATAACAAGATAGGTGATGGAGGTGCAAAATCTCTTAGTGAAGCTTTGAAAAGTGAGAATTGTAAACTTACTGAATTGGATCTTTTTTATAACAGAGTAGGTGATAAAGGTGCAAAATATCTTAGTGAAGCTTTGAAAAGTGAGAATTGTAAACTTACTGAATTGTCTCTTTCTAATAACAAGATAGGTGATGGAGGTGCAAAATCTCTTAGTGAAGCCTTGAAAAGTGAGAATTGTAAACTTACTGAATTGTCTCTTAAATATAACAATATAGGTGACGAAGGTGCAAAATCTCTTAGTGAAGCTTTGAAAAATATGATTTGTAAACTTACTGAATTGTCTCTTGATAGTAACAAGATAGTTGATGCAGGTGCAAAATCCCTTAGTGAAGCTTTGAAAAGTGAGAATTGTATCCTTACTGAATTGGATCTTTCTTCTAATAAGATAGGTGACGAAGGTGCAAAATCTCTTAGTGAAGCTTTGAAAAGTGAGAATTGTAAACTTACTGAATTGTCTCTTGATAGTATCAAGATAGGTGATAAAGGAGCAAAATATCTTAGTGGAGCTTTGAAAAGTGAAAATTGTAAACTTACTGAATTGTCTCTTAAATATAACAATATAGGTGACGAAGGTGCAAAATATCTTAGTGAAGCTTTGAAAAGTGAGAATTGTAAACTTACTGAATTGTCTCTTTCTCATAACAAGATAGGTGACGAAGGTGCAAAATCTCTTAGTGAAGCTTTAAAAAGTGAGAATTGTATCCTTACTGAATTGAAACTTTCTTCTAACAAGATAGGTGACGAAGGTGCAAAATCACTTAGTGAAGCTTTGAAAAGTGAGATTTGTAAACTTACTGAATTGTCTCTTTCTCATAACAAGATAGGTGATGAAGGTGCAAAATCTCTTAATGAAGCTTTGAAAAGTAAGAATTGTAAACTCACTGAATTGTCTCTTGATAGTAACAAGATAGGTGATGAAGGTGCAAAATCTCTTAGTGAAGCTTTTAAAAGTGAGAATTGTAAACTTACGGAATTGTCTCTTGATAGTAACAAGATAGGTGATGGAGGTGCAAAATCTCTTAGTGAAGCTTTGAAAAGTGAGAATTGTAAAATTACTGAATTGTCTCTTTCTCATAACAAGATAGGTGATGGAGGTGCAAAATCTCTTAGTGAAGCTTTGAAAAATATGAATTGTAAACTTACTGAATTGTCTCTTGATAGTAACAAGATAGTTGATGGAGGTGCAAAATCCCTTAGTGAAGCTTTGAAAAGTGAGAATTGCATCCTTACTGAATTGCATCTTTCTTCTAACAAGATAGGTGACGAAGGTGCAAAATCTCTTAGTGAAGCTTTAAAAAGTGAGAATTGTATCCTTACTGAATTGGAACTTTCTTCTAACAAGATAGGTGACGAAGGTGCAAAATCACTTAGTGAAGCTTTGAAAAGTGAGAATTGTAAACTTACTGAATTGTCTCTTTCTCACAACAAGATAGGTGTTGGAGGTGCAAAATCTCTTAGTGAAGCTTTGAAAAGTGAGAATTATAAACTTACTAAATTGTCTCTTGATAGTAACAAGATAGGTGATGGAGGTGCAAAATCTCTTAGTGAAGCTTTAAAAAGTGAGAATTGTAAACTTACTGAATTGTCTCTTTCTCATAACAAGATAGGTGATGGAGGTGCAAAATCTCTTAGTGAAGCTTTGAAAAGTGAGAATTGTAAACTTACTGAATTGTCTCTTTCTCATAACAAGATAGGTGATGAAGGTGCAAACTCTCTTAGTGAAGCTTTGAAAAGTGAGAATTGTAAACTTACGGAATTGTCTCTTGTTAGTAACAAGATAGGTGATGGAGGTGCAAAATCTCTTAGTGAAGCTTTGAAAAGTGAGAATTATAAACTTACTGAATTGTTTCTTGATAGGAACAAGATAGGTGATGGAGGTGCAAAATCACTTTGTGAAGCTTTAAATAGTGAGAATTGTAAACTTACTGAATTGTCTCTTAAATATAACAATATAGGTGACGAAGGTGCAAAATCTCTTAGTAAAGCTTTGAAAAGTGAGAATTGTAAACTTACGGAATTGTCCTATTATCATAACAAGATAGGTGATGGAGGTGCAAAATCTCTTAGTGAAGCTTTCAAATGTAAGAATTGTAAACTCACTGAATTGTCTCTTGATAGTAATAAAATAGGTGATGAAGGTGCAAAATCTCTTAGTGAAGCTTTGAAAAGTGAGAGTTGTAAACTTACGGAATTGTCTCTTGATAGCAACAAGATAGGTGATGGAGGTGCAAAATCTCTTAGTGAAGCTTTGAAAAGTGAGAATTGTAAACTTACTGAATTGTCTCTTAAATGTAACAATATAAGGGACGAAGGTGCAAAATCTCTTAGTGAAGCTTTGGAAAGGGAGAATTGTAAACTTACTGAATTGTCTCTTTATAATAACAAGATAGGTGATGGAGGTGCAAAATCTCTTAGTGAAGCTTTGAAAAGTGAGAATTGTAAACTTACCGAATTGTCTCTTTCTGACAACAAGATGGGTGATGGAGGTGCAAAATCTCTTAGTGAAGCTTTGAAAAGTGAGAATTGTAAACTTACTGAATTGTCTCTTAAATATAACAATATAGGTGGCGAAGGTGCAAAATCTCTTTGTGAAGCTTTGAAAAGTGAGAATTGTAAACTTACTGAATTGTCTCTTGATAGTAACAATATAGAAGACGAAGGTGCAAAATCTCTTGGTGAACTTTTGAAAAGAAAAATATGTAAACTTACTGAATTGTCTCTTGATAGTAACAAGATAGGTGATAAAGCTGCAAAATATCTTAGTGAAGCTTTGAAAAGTGAGAATTGTAAACTTACTGAATTGTCACTTTCTCATAACAATATAGGTGATGGAGGTGCAAAATCTCTTAGTGAAGCTTTGAAAAGTAAGAATTGTAAACTTACTGAATTGTCTCTTGATAGTAACAAGATAGGTGATGAAGGTGCAAAATCTCTTTGTGATGCTTTGAAAAGTGAGAACTGTAAGCTTACTGAATTGGATCTTTCTTTTTTTAACATAGGTAATGGAGGTGCAAAATCTCTTAGTGAAGCTTTGAAAAGTAAGAATTGTAAGCTTACTGAATTTGATCTTTCTCATAACAATATAGGTGATGAAGGTGCAAAATCTCTTACTGAAGCTTTGAAAAGTGAGAATTGTAAACTTAGTAAATTGTCTCTTTCTCTTAACAATGTAGGTGATGAAGGTGCAAAATCTCTTAGTGAAGCTTTGAAAAGTAAGAATTGTAAACTTACTGAATTGTCTCTTGATAGTAACAAGATAGGTGATAAAGGTGCAAAATCTCTTAGTGAAGCTTTGAAAAGTGACAATTGTAAACTTAGTAAATTGTCTCTTTTTCTTAACAATGTAGGTGATGAAGGTGCAAAATCTCTTAGTGAAGCTTTGAAAAGTGAGAATTGTAAACTTACTGAATTGTCTCTTTTTCATAACAAGATAGGTGATAAAGGTGCAAAATCTCTTAGTGAAGCTTTGAAAAGTAAGAATTGTAAACTTACTGAATTGTCTCTTGATAGTAACAAGATAGGTGATGAAGGTGCAAAATCTCTTTGTGATGCTTTGAAAAGTGAGAACTGTAAGCTTACTGAATTTCATCTTTCTTATTACAACATAGGTAATGGAGGTGCAAAATCTCTTAGTGAAGCTTTGAAAAGTAAGAATTGTAAGCTTACTGAATTGGATCTTTCTCATAACAATATAGGTGATGAAGGTGCAAAATCTCTTAGTGAAGCTTTGAAAAATATGAATTGTAAACTTACTGAATTGTCTCTTGATAGTAACAAGATAGGTGATGAAGGCGCAAAATCTCTTAGTGAAGATTTGAAAAGTGAGAATTGTAAACTTACGGAATTGTCTCTTGTTAATAACAAGATATGTTATGGAGGTGCAAAATCTCTTAGTGAGGCTTTGAAAAGTGAGAATTGTAAGCTTATTGAATTTCATCTTTCTCATAACAATATAGGTGATGAAGGTGCAAAATATCTTACTGAAGCTTTCAATAGTGAGAATTGTAAACTTACTGAATTGGATCTTTCTCATAACAAGATAGGTGATGGAGGTTCAAAATCTCTTAGTGAATCTTTGAAAATTGAGAATTGTAAACTTACTGAATTGGATCTTTCTAATAACAATATAGGTGATGGAGGTGCAAAATCGTTTAGTGAAGCTTTGAAAATTGATAATTGTAAACTTACTGAATTGGATCTTTCTCATAACAATATAGGTGATGTAGGTGCAAAATCTTTTAGTGAAGCTTTGAAAAGTGAGAATTGTAAACTTACTGAATTGTCTCTTAAATATAACAATATAGGTGACGAAGGTGCAAAATATCTTACTGAAGCTTTCAATAGTGAGAATTGTAAACTTACTGAATTGGATCTTTCTCATAACAAGATAGGTGATGGAGGTTCAAAATCTCTTAGTGAATCTTTGAAAATTGAGAATTGTAAACTTACTGAATTGGATCTTTCTAATAACAATATAGGTGATGGAGGTGCAAAATCGTTTAGTGAAGCTTTGAAAATTGAGAATTGTAAACTTACTGAATTGGATCTTTCTCATAACAATATAGGTGATGTAGGTGCAAAATCTTTTAGTGAAGCTTTGAATAGTGAGAATTGTAAACTTACTGAATTAGATCTTTCTTATAACAAAGTAGGTGATAAAGGTGCAAAATATCTTAGTGAAGCTTTGAAAAGTGAGAATTGTAAACTTACTGAATTGTCTCATTATAATAACAATATAGGTGATGGAGGTGCAAAATTTCTTAGTGAAGCTTTGCAAAGTGAGAATTGTAAACTTACTGACATTGGTATTAACTTTAACCTTATATAATATAAATTAATTTGCTAATTACATTAAACATGCTTAAAGAATATATATTTGACCTTATAGTGTAAACAGCCAGTAGTCATGTTTTGATAAAATTAATTTAATTTTCCTGTTTTTTTGCGTGTAAAAAGCACCTTTCTTCTTATCAATTTATGCTGTTTTGCTAGTATGCTTTTAATACTGAATCATAGTACTACCTAAAGAACATTTTAATCAAATTATTTGACACATTGTTACAGCGACGGAAATGTGTTCTTTGTTTTTGTTTGTTTGTATCAATTTGCTGTCTTTTGGCCGGCATGCTGTCTTTGCAGAATTAGTGCTCTACAACAGGGGTCTCCAAACTTTACAGCCAGAGGGCCACATGAACTTTCATCCAGCATGTTGAGGGCCGAAGAATATGAAAAATTTCCACGTTATCCTTCAGCTTTTTAAATTTCGCAATGTGCTTGGAACGTATGTAGGAAGTTGAGACAAAAATTGACGTAAGCCACTCTTGCTAGTTGGCTTCCGACATAACGTAAACTTTCTGCACAAAGTTTATTTTGTTTAATAATATTATTATTTTTTCTTAAGTGCCTCTCCTGTCCGGATTGAGAGGCCCAACCAGCCGCATCTGTCCCGTGGGCCTTAGGTTGGAGACCCCTGCTCTACAAGTATGAAAACAAATTTAAAAACTACTGATAATGTTTCTGAAGTTTCTTTTTAAGATTTTTTGCAGAAGCAAATGTCCACCAGGACATATAGATACATGTTAAATAAATAGATGTTTTCAATCATAATTAACTCAATATCATACCGAACGTGTTTTCCTCAGAGACGTGGCTAGCATGCAAGTTTATTTTTGCAATGTTGATTCTAAAATCTGTTCACTTTGGAAATCTTCTGGTTAGCAGGATGTTTAAAAGAACGTGTTTTTTGGCAAAACTAAATAATCATGCTTGTTATTCCAATGAGACATCAGGTTTTATTTTACCTGAAGGTTGGCAAGCGACAATCGGTAACATAGTAATCCTTGAAAAGGTAGTAAAAACATTATATGCATTGACCTTTGTGTTACGTTTTTGCCAGTAAACATTGATCATAAAAAAACTCATTTCAATATACTATAGAAATGATTAACTGAATTAAAGCATTTTGAAGTGTATGTAGCAATGTATTTTATTGCAAATCTCAAGTATTTGTAGTGTTGAAAAATAGTAAATTTCTATAAGTTGTCAAAACTACGATAGTTGCTGCAAACCACGGGAAGTTAACAAACAATTAATAATGTTCATAAATAAAGTTATGAATAAAATTTCATAATTATTGAGTACAGGTTTCATCTTTTCTTCACATTACTTATGATCACATGCCATATCAACCACTCAATCGTCTTGACACTTTTCTGCCTTTGTCACTAAAGAAGCTTGTTTTTTTCTAAAAGTATTATGGGGAAGAGTCATACGGCATAGGTGAGTAAAACTGTTTCTTAAATTTATTGATTATAACAGTGGAGATATTTTGCGTGCCCAAAAAGTGTTCCTGAAGTGTTTTTATTCTTAAATATCTTGCAATTAACTTCAGAAATTAAAATAAAGTAATAACCCCATTGAATTATTTAATAAAATATAACATATTTTAATGGCACATAAATTTCATTGCTTGGACGTTTTTTTCTTTGTAAACGAAGACAAAGACAATTATTATGCGACCCTACAGCATCTGCATATCAATTTTATTAACAAGATTTGTATTGTTTTAGTTATCATAAAACAAAGTCTTTACTAAAGTCATTCGATTTTCTTTTTTCTGTTTGCAGACCAAACTTCAACCTTTCACAAAAATTATCACTACAGTTTTTAAAATTCAAACGACTCACTCTATGTACAAACATATTTTGCAACTTGGTCACGTGCCAGTTTGCTTGTTGTCACTCATATTGAATATTTATTAATCTGAATGGACAGACTCATCACGCAAGATTTACAGCGTTTAACCTATATTTCTGGAATTCTTATTTCCGCCAAATCAGCATGTGCTCAATTTTGACAAAGAACTACAAGATATATGTGGCACATTCAACGAGTTTTTCAGTATTTCAACAAGAGTACTTTAGCATTGTAATCATGACTTCATCTGTTTACTTCATGCTTAAATCACTATAAATTTTGTGGTAAAATCAGGCAAAGTTCAATTATGTTTATTTCTCCTTAAAGAACGTGTTGGTTTATAATAGCATTTGAGATACTAATTTTTTTTGCACATAAATGGTTTGAAAAATATAATTATAATTTTTTCCGATCGACAAAACCTTTGATGTATTACAAAAGTCTTTGTCTGTAAAGTTATTTATTTTAAATAATTTCACATAAATTTGTATCGTATAAAAATCTGCTGCGCAGAACCGATTAACATTAGTTTGATAATCATTGGATATGTATAGCAACAAAGTTGGCCGTCCCCTAGGCTTTATAAACATGTGTCTTTGTCTCGTCCAAACACTAACCGATATCATGCCCACATATAAGGTCAACAGTTCGTTGTAAGGACGCACTGGTCTGCGTATTGGTCAAAGATTGCGGAATGATAAGCTTGTTTTGAAAACATGTCGCCCTTAATAAAATATAGTAATTTTGAAGCTTAGCTATAACTATCATTTGTTCGAAATCCATGCTTTGAGAAAAATGTAAAAACCAAACGTTGCGTAATTAGAATTTGATTCTGCAATTGTTGAATTCAATGCATTCCGCAGGAATGACCGAATTTTAGAGATACAGAATGTCTCCAGAAGACAAGAAACGGTTGGTCAGTTCGAAAAACAAGTGCACCACTATTTAACTGTCACTGATTTTCAGGCAACTTGATGTTTGTGAGAATGTAAATGAATTTAACGTTAACATTTGCAAAGACTATCGGCAAATGCAGGTAATTGACTTTATATTGTGATCATATAATTACCAGTCTAACCTCATATACGCAATAGGTCATATTTTGCAATGAGATGCAACGTCCAGTCTATGTCAGAGCAGTGCTTATGATGTATTGGTGCTTAGGTCGTATTTTTTCTTGCTTTGAGATGCCAATGTAAGAAACTATCCCGAGAGTTTATTAGTCTACAAACTGGCTGTTGCCTACCCACGTGACCTCTACATAGTCACAAAATTATTTTACCGTTCTTTTAGTTACATTTCGTCCATTTCGTCCTTATATCTGCGTAAAGTAAAAGTTTCAGACGACAGCAACATTACATAAAGACCAGAAAATACTAAAGTTGGTGAAATTTTTTTTCTTTAATGAGAATGCAGGTCTTTATAGCATTTAAGAAAAAGCTTGTATCCATTCATATCGATGATTATACAGTCTGTATCAATATTGCCAAAAACAACACAGGCATTCTGATTCCTGATGTGTCGTATACACGTATACTACCATATTTATAACAAGCTTTCAAAAATGTTTTTCAAAAATTTCTGCCATTTCTACACATCCAAACCTTCCTAAGATTTATTTTTATCCTTATCGAACACATTAGAGGTTAAGCCAGCAAGAAAGGTGAGAAAGTATTTCATATTAACTATGTCTTACTCCCTCAGTGTGACTCACAATTTTTTCCGTGTGTTTAATTAACACAAATGAATGACCATTGCATTTTTGACTATTGTGTTTCGCTTTCATCATGCAATAAAAAGAAGATCATGGCCGTATCATTTGACAGCAATGTTGCTGAACGCATTGTTGATGTTGAAAAACAATCGTCTAGCATGGAGACAGAGTTAGAGTTAGATAAATTACTTCATCCATTCCCCTCCACAATCTCATTCCACCCCCCTCCATTAAATATCTCCCTGTTTTCATCATTTCTTTCTCATTTTCCTTTGTCTCATCCACTCCCTTCCTTCTCCATTCCCACTCCATTCCACTCCTCATTCCACTCCTCTCTCCATTCCACTCCTCCCCATTCCATCACTCCTCATTCACTCATACACTCCCTCATTCACTCATACACTCCCTCATTCACTCACGCACTCAAAGCATTATTAAAATCTCCGCATGTCATTTATAATGCAGTGTTGACTCATGATATTCATTTTCTTGAAGTTATGAATCCTCCCTCTCTCCTTCAATTTCTTCCTCTATTCTTTCCCTTGTTCAATAATAAACTCCAACTTTCTTTAGCATAATCCCTTGTTCACTCACACACTTTTCTCTTCCTCCCTTCTTATTCCTTTGTTAACTTTTACATTTCCTTGATCATTCAAAAGTTTGATCTCGGGCAAATTTTAATCGTACCACGAAAAAACTCTGTCGAATTCCGAACCATTATGAATAGACTGTGTTGCATGTCGGACATGCAGTCTTCCATAATCAGGTGAATTTCGTTTGTTTTTCATAGTGGGATATACACTTGGTTAACGTTGTAGATTATAAATTATACCGATGGACTAAATGTAGTTACTACACAATTTTCTATAAAGATACTGCCCTTGTTCATAATATAATGCAGTGTTGACTCATGATACTCAATTTCCTTGTTCAATAACAAACTCCCATATTCTTTAACAGAATCCCTTGTTCATTCACACAATTTTTTCTTCCTCTCTTCTCATTCCTTTGTTCATTTACACATTCCCGTGATCATTCATTTGCTAACTCACTACCTCCGAAACCTTAAAACAATA